AACTTTTGTTCCATGACTTTTAATAATTCATCAGATTTTACTTTCATACAAAAGTATAGGAGTTTATGTGACTGTTACATAATGAAAGGTATTAAAATACGAGTGTGGGTTTATGAAACGAACGGACAGGCAAGTTTCATAAAAACATCACACGAGTGTTTATATGCTTAGTTATGTACAGTAACATACACGATTTATCTACACCATTGACTTACAATTATATGGACGACGGGTCCGCGCTAAAAAGTGTCCGCACTTGTAAGGCGCTAAAATCGTATACAGAGCGCCAAACTCCGCTTTAGTCTTCATTTGTTCGACTGACAGCACGATACTGCGATGACATTACAATTTAAATTTCGAATAGGTTGACTTGGGACATTATTTTCGTGGTTTTTGTATTAGACCCGTCGTCCATTTATTTGTAAGTCAATGATCTACACACATATTATAAACTCTCTATGATGTGTTCAGGAACCGCATGTTACGACTGGCGAAATGGCGGCAAATAAAAACTTTTCTTACGCATGTCACACAACCGCAGTTTTTTTTAATTCATAGGCAATCTAGAGTCGTCCCCAACTATCATATCGTTCGATATCAAGTAACGTGTGAGATTTATCAAAATTGCTTGCTATTTCATTTCGAATAAAACGTCATCTCGACTGATATTAGAATTGAGGTCGAAAGAAATTGTTTTGTTTTTCAGGGATGTTCAAAATTTGAATGTCATAATAAAATAGAATTCGATGTTATTCTGAAGCAATAATAACATTTTCACAGATAAGAAATTTGTTGTAACAAAACAGTTTATCCTTATGCTGGTCGTAATTTGCGATTTTTGAACATATACCATAGAGGGTTTATGACATGTGTGTAGATAAAAAAATTTATTTAAATAAATCGCTCTAAACGATAATAACTCTGTGCAGGACGGGGGTGGGGGTCGTCGCGGAGGTCAGTTGAACTTACCTTACAATTAAATACTGATTTAAAAAGTGTCAGATAGTACAACAAAAACTTAAAAGTAAATTTTTGGGAAATGTATTATGTAGAACAGAATAGAATATAATAGGATAGAATATAATAGAAAACGTTTATTTGCCACAATACAGTAATTACATAGGTAAGTAAAATTAGGTACATTGTATTCAACCTGCAAGCAGATGTGCAAATATTAATGAGATTTAATGTTCAGTCTCTATAGTTTCTAAGTAATGTAATGAATTTGTAAATTCTAAGTATTCTTTATTACTATAGAAGCAATGTGTTAAAAGCCATTTTATCAATTGTAATTTAAAAGTATGTCCTCTTAACAATTTAATTTCGTTTGGTAATTAATTGTAAATAATTATACACTGTTGAAACAGTTATTCTTATAAATTACGTTATGGCAACGAGGTTGCTATAAAAGATTCATAATTTTTGCTCTAGTTTGCCTTTGACTTGACTTCCCCGCGTGTTTTAAAATATTGAGGATGAGAGTTGACAAATACCCAGATATCCCTGAGGTACATGCATGGCAAAGGTAATATGTTTAGCCTTTTGAACAGTGGTTTGTAACTGTCATCGAAGCACGTGCCATAAATTGCTCGAATACACTTCTTCTGAACTTTAAACGCTATTTCTAAGATTACGTTTAATACATAGGGCGCACTATAAGTTTCCGGAACTGGCCACTTAGGTACATAAACAATAGTTAAAAATTAATTACAACATTCGAAAATCGATCTCTATGGCTGTAGAATACAGTTTGTTTTATCTGACTGTCACTGGTTTTTACATTGTGGCGTCATTTTAAATTGGATAGATTTAACTCGTGAAAATATTCGTAGTATGATTTTCTACGACTTTAAGTGTAATTCAACAGCTCAGTGGAGCTTTGCTCGGCTTTAAATTGCATTTGGCGATAAAGTACCATGCAAGGCGACTATTTATAGCAGGTTTGCAGAATTTAGACGCGGTCGTGTGAATCTCAGTGACGAATTTTGTGATGGTCGCCCGTCCACTGCTGTGAACGTCACAAAAACATCGATGCTGTGTTCCGTATGATCAAAACAGACAGGCATGTGACATACCATGAGATTCGGGCATCTTTAGGCATAGGCATGAGTCCAATACTATCAACATTACACAAATATTTGGGTGTGAAAAAGCTGTGCTCTCGGTGGATCCCACACAATTTCACTGAGGGTCAAAAAATGGATCGCGTTACTTGGTGCAATGCCATGCTTACCAGATTCAACGAAAGGGCGTCAAATTTGGTGTGGGACATAGTAACAGGTGACGAATCATGAATTTATAGTTACAATCTCAAAACAAAGCAGCAATCAAGCGTATGGGTTTTTCAAGATGAGCCGAAACCAACCAAAGTGGCGCGCGTGCAAAGTGCCAATAAGCGGATAATTGCTTTTTTTTAATATAACTGGACACGTGGCTACGGTTGCTTTATAGAATCGTTGTACCATGAATAGTGATTGGTACACGATCATTTGTTTGCCAGAAGTTATTGACTCCGTAAAAATAACTGTAAACGCCGTATCATCTTGCACCACGATAATGACAGTCAGACACGGCCAGACAGAGAAATGAATTTTTGAAGGTGAACAACGTTGACCTTATGAGCCATCTCGCGTACAGTTCCGACCTGGCACCTTGTGACTTTTATTTATTTCCAAATATTAAGAGCCAGTTACACGGTCAACGATTTTCATCACCCGAAGAGGCTGTCGAAGACTACGAAAAATATGTTTCAGAAATTGTCACGGAAGACTGGCATAAATGTTTTAAAAATTGGTTCATTCATATGAAAAAGTGCATTAACGCTAACGGCGAATATTTTGAGAAATAATAAATTGATTTCTGACCATTTATAGTGTTTTTTTGTTATTCATTCCGGAAACTTATGCGCCCAATGT